GACAAAAGTTCTATGTGGCACCAGAATCTCTTGCTCATCATTTGTCCAGGAGACAGATGGCACCTATCAAGATGTGACTGGTATTACTGAAGAGGGGGTGTGTCTGTCCAGGAAACTTCTAGGGCATGGGTGCAGGGAGTGTTCTATCCAGTCACTGGGTTAGACCTGTGTACATTCATTACCAGTTGCTGGGTATTCAGCATGAGGGAGCATGAATAGCCAATCACCAGGAGAATGGAGCAAATTTGATGCCAGATAGGTGATTTAATTTTGCCTCAGGTTTAGAGTAGAAGGTGTGCAAGTGCAAGTTGTTTGCACTTCAGAGAAGAGATAGTGGGTGGAGCTGGGCTTGTGCCCTTCAGTATGAACTCCCTGTGTCTTAGGCAGATGGTGGGAGGTGTGGATGGACTTGCACATGTAAAGAGTATGCATCAACACAAGCACCTCCTCATCAGGGAGGGAGAGTGAACAGGTCAGGGTTTCCTGCATCGCTTGTGTACCCTACACCTTAGGAAAGGAGTTGTGTGTGTTCGGCCAGGTTTGCAAGTACAAATTCAAGCACCTTGCACCTCAAGGTGAGTTGGTGGGCAGAACTTGGGTGCACAAGTGCAAGCAGCTACATCTCGGGAAGGGGGCAGGTATAGTGGTTGGACTTGCATGTCAGCAACCCCCCCCCACCACCTGTGATTGAAGGAGGGGGTGTTGGTGTTGGCTAGGCTTGCCTGCCTTGGCTGTCTACGTGTGCTTCAGGACATACACTAAGACACACAGCAGGTGTGCGACAACTTGTACAACACTGGGTGTGGGGCCTGATTCTAGTTGTTCTTCTGTGTGGTGGCTTTTCACTGAATGGCTCACCTATAAATGATCAGGCGTCAGCACTGAAAAGCAATTCCTGCATTATTAGTAAGCACCACCACCCCCCTTCTTGTACTCACTAGGACTGGAACTCTCACCCACCATCCGTCCCTTCTCTTTTCTAACTCACACGTGTGCACTGCCTGTCTACACTTTCTCTAGCAAAGGCTCAGGTGCTTTGAGAAAGGTACTTTCCTCAAGGTTCTTTTGTAGAGGACCTTTCCCTTCTTTCAAAGTTATACCATTCTCTACCTGCCATGCCCCCTCCCCCATTCCCATCCACCGAGGATGGTTCATCTTTGGCCACATCCTGCCCACCTTGTCATTTCTTTCTGGGGTTGCTTGTACAGAATCTCTGCTGCCTGCTGTGCTCTTTAAGGTCACCTTCCTGGGCTTCTCACTCTAGACTATGGTTCGATGCCTCCCCCAAAGCTGGCACAGTCCAGGCGGGAATCTCTATTTTCCTGCTCGTTTTGTTCCACTTCACATCTGTTCACTCTCAGTCTGTTTCTTCAACTCCGTTTGATACTCTGGATTTTACGATCATTTCCTCTGTCTGTTTTGCCGAGTTCTAGAGTTTGTGTTGTAAGGTGTATTACAGTGCGTGTACCTAAGGTAATGTATAAGCTTCTTTCATCTTCTTCTGATGTTTCCTGGGATGTTCGATGGTTTTATCAACAAATCTTTCAATATTGGAACTTGAGGCTGGGTTTTTTCAGATGTTTCTTCTGCTTTAGAAAATCAAGCGTGCTCTTTTCTTTTGGTTTTCTAACTTCAGCATCTGTAACATTTCATTATAATAATTTGTCTTCTCCCTGTGCCCACAAAGATCTTCTATTCAACTCCATGACAGCATTATTTCTGCCACTCGATTGTCAAGAGCAAGTTTTAGTCTCACAATATACAATTTTGTCATTTTATTCTTTTCTATCTTTTCTTCAAATGAATTCTGCTTTCTTTATGCATGGTGGTCTTGATGTCCTCTCATAACTTTATTTGGCCTTCATTCATTAGTATTCAATATGTCATACATATTCATGAGGAGGTCTCTAAAATCCAGTGGGATATACTCAAGGTATTAGTTTAAATTTTTTTTAACTTGAAGTTGCATACGAGAAATTGATGGAATCTGTTCTACAGTCAACTCCTGACTTTGTTTTGGCTGATTATATTAACTTCTCTGTTGGTCTTTATATAGAGAAAGTCTGTTTGAATGTGTGAACTCACTTTTTGTTGTTGAAAAATGTATTTTTAGTGAATAGACTGTTGATCTTGCAAAATTCTATTATGTAATCTATGGCATAATTTCTATCACCAAGGCCATGTTTTCCAAGTATTAATCCTTCCTAGTTGTCTCCAACTTTCTCATTGCAGTCACCTGTAATTATCAACGTATCTTGATCACACGTTTGGTCAATTTCATACTGAAGAAGCTGGTAAAAATATTCAATTTCTTAACATTTGGCATTAGTGGTTAGTGCAAAATTCTGAATTGTAGTCATATTATTTGGTCTCCTTTGTACAAATATGACTATTACCCCATCATGGATAGCACTGCATATCAGGATATATATTAAAATGTTCATTCCGGCAATGAATGTTACGCTATTCCTCTTCAATTTGTCATCCTTGACATAGTAGGTGACAGGATTTTCTAATTTAGAATTGGCCATACCAGTTTGTTTCTGCTCATTATTGCCTAGGGATATTGATTTTTAAGTTTTCCACTAACTTCCATTTTTGACGACTACCAATTTCCTAGATTCATACTCTTTACATTACGTGTCTCAGTTATTCATAAACTTTTGCAGCTGTTTCAGTTCCTTTTGAATCATGGTCACATCAGCAAGTTAATGTCCCAAAGCATCGGTCCATTCACATCATGCAGGGCAGCTTCACTTTGAGGAGACAGCTCTGCCCCAGGCATATCCCTGCCACTATGTCAGACAATGTTTCACAGTGACACATAGAGTTTTCATTGACCATTGGTTTTTCAAGAATTAGATTGACAAGTCTTTCTAGTTTGCCATTCTGGAAACACCACGGATGCCTGTTTTCCACAAACGCCCCTACTAATATCAAAATATCTGTGGGATGATGCCATCATGGCAGCAACATGCAAGTTTGCACAGTAGGCTAAACTGACGGAGGACTGGTGGGATGATCATCATAACAACAGGAAAGCCTCCACTGACCCACAGGTGGTAGCAGTGCCAGAGGTGCCTGGAAGACAAGCGTTCCACCACTAAGCTTAGTACGAACTTAATAAATACTTGCTGAACAAAGTTTAAGATAATGCTAAAATACACAACAAAAGTTTCTAAGCATTACCAATGGGCTCTTCTTCTATACATAAACATGATGTCTGGGCAGTTGTTTTACCATTCCATCAGACAGATTATGGGAAGGGACTGAATCTATATTTTTGCACATACCGTACTTAATATTTTTTCCTATTTTTATGATACCTTATACAAGCATTCTTATACCTCAGCATAATTTTGGACTCCATATTCTATTTTCCATTTAAATGATCAGGTTACATACGATAGTATGTTAAAAGAAATATACACTATTTTTATTACTACCTTGGGAGGGATGACCCTGATAACATTTCTGATTGTTATATCAATTATTTCTGAAGGTCTGTGTTTTCGGTGAAATTTTCATACATTTGCCCTCCATCAATTATTAACAGTATTCACCAGGTGCTCTTTAATTGGATATTCTTTGAATCCATAAACATCGAACATTTTTAGTTCTCAATGCCTATAGAAAGTCAAAACAATTTACTAATCATATAACCAGTATGCTTCTCAGTTCATCTTCAGCAAGGCTGCTATCATTTAACTCATATTCCTCCTACTGCTTTATAGTCATTGTTTATTTTAACAGCCTTTATATTTAATAAAAGAAAAGGAAAGGAGGGATGGAGGAAGGGAGGAGGAGGGAAAATGAGATCCAGAAATTGCTTTTGTCCATGATTTCATCTACAATGTAGCATAACTAGTCTTTTGCCTGCTAAGAGATGACCACTAATAATCACTCATTTGTCCCCTTTCCTTGGTTATTTGGTATGACCTACCACAGATAGCTAGCCTTTCCTCTCTGGGCACTGACTAGTGTTTGATTCCCAGGGTTTCCTTCTGAAGATCTGATTCAACATGTCTCTGGTGTGTGAGTTGTGGTGGGGGTGGTATTGAGGGGGTAAGGAGTGAGGGGATAGGATGAAATATACACATACCATTAGAACAATGATTATCAGAATTGAGCCACTATCTGACCCACTGATGAAAGTCTTTCAAGCATAGAGTGCTGGGCCTTTTCAGATGTTCCTATCCAGAAGGTGTGGATGGGATAGACCTCAGAATTTGTGTATATCTAACAAGATGTCATCGTTTTCAACAATTATTTTATTAGAAGAAACCTTTGTAACACCTTCCTCAGAAGCTATCATTACTATGTGTATGAATTTTTTTCACTAACATTATAATTATACTGGTTAAGATGCTGACAGCAATTTTCTGGGAGTCAGAAATCAGATCCAAACATTCTTCTGTGACCTCCATGTAGAAGCAGATTCACAACTCACCATTTTACTTCACCTCGGTGAAAGCAATAGATTAATCCATATGGATGTAGGCATACGACAAACAGTTAAGACTACAACAAAGCAGGACACAGAAAGCTACCAAGAGAACACTGTACATTTCCAAAGTCTGTACTCTTGGGTCAGACTCAGATCTCTGCTGTATGTCACCACATAGCACCTAGTGGAATGAACAAAAGCTAATTTTTTAAAAGCTGATTCAGGCACGCCTATTATTTAGAGATCCAAATTGGGCCATTGGGGCTTCAGGAATGGGGCTTTGCAGCTTGATCCTGCCACTATAAACTCAGGCCGGTTGCATCACTACTTTCCATGAGGAATTTAAGGGGTGTGACTGCATCCTTTCCAACCCTGCATTCCACATGTGACAAAACTGATCCAGCTGTTTGTCTGAAAGAAATTCCTTGCTGTCCTGAGAAATTAAAAAGCAAGTGGATATCCGTCCTCCAGGGGCATGCTTCCAGCTGGGACCTGGTACAGGCGCTTGTGAAACAGACAGAGCCATGAGGAGCATCTGCTTTTGAATTCTTACCTCGCCACAGGGGGGTTAGCCCCAGCTTGCCTTTTGTAATGACAGATTCGGGATGGAGGGTGCCTGCTTGGCCCAAAGCTCTGGAGAAGTGTTCATCCACTACTGACCCAATGTCTCCCTGGAAATAAGTGAAAAGGACACAGCGAGAGTTAAGGTACTCCATCTCAGCAGGCTGGTCTTTCTCCTCTTCCTCTTCCTCTTCCTCCTCCTCCTCCTCCTCCTCCTCGTGTTTGCTGGGAAGGGTGACTTCGAGAGAGTCCTGCATCTTGCTGTGTACCGCTAACTTCTTCTGGGATGGAGTAAACAAAACACATTATCAAAGACAGTTTGTTTAAAAAAAAAAGCATCAACTAGTTAACTTTTTTACTTAAAAAAAAAGCATCTAAATATTAACATATGTTTGCAAACCGATGCTCCTTCATCTGTTTTACCCCATATTTGCTCCATCTTTCCCCTCCCCAAACCGCACTTCTCCTTCCCACACAATGAAAAAAAATGTCTGTGATTCCAAATTTGCCTCATATGAAAAAAAGCCCATTGTGGAATGTTGTATTTTCTGAGTGTGTGTGCAGGTTTCTTATTTGAAAGCACACATGTATCAAAAGGAGAATGAATTCTTAAATAAGTGGCAGAGCCCTTGTAGTGTTTCTTTCTCTGTTCTATCTACTTGCAGCAACATTACAGTGTAGAATGGGGTTGGGGCTGGGGAAGGGAGAGAAGACCAAAGTGTTTGGGAGAGAGGTAGGGAAGAGAGCTTTTCATAAATGAAATAAACAAAAATGAAATCAGGAATATAACATCTTATGAAAGGAGTTGGCAGATGCGCCAAACTTATTTCTCAAAAATCAAGCTGAAATGACAAAATAAGTCTGTGTGAAGATCCATTTTGCATGGAACATATTTTTCAGATGTTCCACTCACCACCATTATCATACAGGAAGAGAAAGAATGCTATCTTCTACTAAAAATAATACAGATACTTGCAATGACTAATTTTTCATTAAAATGAAAAAAACATTTACTACCTTCAAGTTTATGAAAGTATAATCATGACTATAATAATCCAAAGCCCAAACCACACTTACTGCCATTGATTCTATTGCAATTCAGAGTGGCCTACAGGGAAGAAAGAGTAGACTCTCCTTAGCACACAGTCTCATCTTTCTCCCACGGACCAGCAGATTTAAACTCCTCGCCTTGCTGTTATCAGCCAGACACACAACCCACTATGCGTGCAGGGCTTCTGAGTTCTATGCATGCTGACCCTACATAGGATTTCTGAGGCTGTCATTTTTACTTGATCAGACAGCCTCATCTTTCTCCCTCAGAGTTACTGGTGGTTTCAAACTGCGCTGACCTTGTGGCTCACAGTCCAATGTATTAACATGCTGTAAAATCTTTAGCCCCAAATTATAAAGACATCATTTAATAAATTAAACCATTTTCACTCTAGCAGTAAATATCTTGCTTTGTGTGAAATGAGTTCCATCATGTTCAAAAATATTATGAGCTAATAACTACTGTTGAAGGGCTGTTATTTATAAATATACATATTGATTTTCATATAAGAGGTGTCATTATGATAATCACTTGTTGATGAGTACATTATTCATCCCTTGAGAAAATATACCTTGCTGATGAAATGAGGTTATGATGACTCTTTGGTTACATTTCTCATAACTTGCATAGATATGGAAATGTTTATATTTAATGTAGTAAAAACATTATGATAATATATAACCCAACTCACTGCCAGTAAGTCATTTTCAACTCATAGAGACCATATAGGACAGAGTAGAACTGCTCCTTAGAGTTCGCAAGACTGTACATCTTTAATGGAGCAGACAGCTTGATCTTTCTCTCTTGGAGCACTGGTGGGCTTGAAGCATTGACCTTGAAGTTATCAGCCTATCATTTAACCCATTGCACTACCAGGACCCCTTCCTGTAACATTGTTTACATAGAACATGAGAGGTTGGACTAAGTGACCCCTAAAGTGAGATCTAAATTCTAAGTGAATATTATATTTATAATCATAGAATTATTTATCTCTGTGTATATGTGCTTACCCAAAGTATACACAACTTTAAGCACATGCACACCCTTTCTGTCAAACATTATGAGCCACTGGAGAGACCCACTGTTTTATATAAAGAGAAAATTAATACTAGTCTACAGACTGCCCACAAGTGTTCATTATGATCTATGAAGCGTTCCTTCTAGTGCAGCTCAACATCACTTTCTGAGAGTTGGAGTTTGCATCTCATTGTTTCATTTCTTTAATTTCAATTAACACACATATTTTAAATGATTCGTCTTGGCCATGCTAATTATCCAAACAAAGGGTTATTTTTAAACCCAAATTAGTAGTAGCTAATTCTTTGATGAAATAAAATTAAGGAGAATGATATTATATAAATATTTTAAAATTATAAACTCTGACACAAGTATGTCAAATAGAATTCTGATCAATAATTTTAATATCTTAAGTTTTTGGTTGATACCACTTAGTTTCTAAACACTCAATCTATTTAAGATTACCTAAAAATATCCCATTGCTTAAATTACAAAACACTATTCCAGTTATAAGCCAGGACTACATAATTATTAGCATGATCAAAGATAGATTTATTCCTCCATATATAAAAATCAAACAATGACATGCACATGTCCCTTAATGATTAATGGTCCTTTCTTTTTCTAAGAGTCTTAGAAAGCATATCTCAGGATAAGCTAACTTTCTTTAGCAAGAAAAATTCTAAATTATGTTTTTGCTGTTAAGTTAATTCTCATGATAGAACTAAACACAGAATTTATCAAATTCTATTACATCAATAAACCCAGTGCTGTCGAGCCAATTCTAGTGCACAGTTGTCCATACCGGACAGAGTAGAACTGCCCTGTGCATTTCTGAGACTGTAATTTCTTTTCCAAGAGTAGAAAAGTCTCGCCTTTCTCCTGAGGAGCAGCTGGTGGCTTTGAACTGCCCACCTTGAGATTAGCAGCCCATTGCATAGTTACTATGGTTCTAGGGATCCTTAAGATTATGCAGTACTTCTGAAAGATATGTAGTTGTGTGTTATGCTTTTTCTGTTGATTGATTGGTCGGATACCAAGATATTAAATAAAACACACATTTTTAATGGGAAAGAAGTGAGTAAGATCTGCTTGACAATAGCCGTCATTAGCTTATTTCCTAAAAATCAACACTGGGTCAATGGATCATGCACATGTTGGTATTTATTACCCATATACATAATAGATATAAGCATATATTTATGTAAGCACAAATCAATTCTCTGTCTTTTTTTGGTAAACTAATTAAAGAATCTTTGGTTGCATACTGGTTGAGCTTGGCTGCTAACCCAGAGGTCAGGAATTCAAGCCCTGCCAATGGCTCAAAGACCTGGAGACCGTCTCCATCAAGTTCATAGCCAAAAAAGCCCTCTGGCCAGTTCTGCTCTGGGACATGCAGCCACTATGAGTTGGCACCGATGGGCACCCACCAACAATAACTCCTGCACACTTCTGCCATGTTGTTGTTGGTATTTGGTCCTTGGGGATACTAGATAATATTCAAAACACTTAGATCGAAACTCAAGTCATCAGAACCTATCATTCCCCACATCAAGAATAAATTATAATCTACTTCATAGTTTATTAAGATCCAAATTGATTTCATAAAACTATTCATAGCTGCTAGAAAAGTTCTTGCTTTCCTTAAGAAACATAGAAGGATTTTTAGCAAGAAATGCACTTATTAAAGGGGACGTCAAAGGCTAGAAGTTTATTTCTTCAATGTGCATTAACTGGTTCTTCCCTATATCATCAGAGTAATGGCAACTTTTCCCCAGGTAAAAAAGACCCTTGGGTAAGGTGAAGTAATGAACTAGTTAATAGACACAATGCTCAAAGCTAACTCACGAAGAGGTTAAAGCATCAATGTGAAGGAGGGTCAGTCGGCAGTGCAGTCTATACCCAACCTCCTCAAAGCCTGCCATAAGGCAGAACAGAAACAAACTGTACCAGGAATGTGCAAGGGGAAGGATGTGTCTGACAAGAGAAAGACTTCCACGTCAGGAGCCAAATACCACTAACTCCCCAAGGCTTAAGCTTACAAAATGCCAAATGATTACTGTGCATATGTGGAAACTTTTCCCTTAAAAAAAGAAAGGAGAAATTTAATGAATCATTGGCTATTGTTTTCTTGGTTTTTTGTTGTTGTTTTTTTCCTTCAATTTCTCCTATGTTCTCCCAATGCAGTGGTTCTTTTTCGTTTTTGTGTTTTTTAAAAAAGGAAAATGCATTATTAGAGTCTTTAAGAAAGCACTGCTAGCCCAGGAAAAATCATTTAGAACTATAAAGTTCATTAAGGAAAACCACTGTCCTTTCATCATAGTTTTCTTTAGTTGGATGCCATTTATTTTTTAAACTAGCTAAGAGAGAGATGAAGTTTTAGTACTTAGCCTATTTGGATGGCTAACCTGTGTCAGAGGAGTTATGTTATAGACTTTTTATATGTTTTATTTCACTTAATTCACACACACAGTCACAAATTGTCAGAATAATTATTCCTGATTTATATATGAAAACATTTATTTACTTATTTACTTGATCGACTAGTAAAATAACAGCGGTTGAATTTCGAATTTATTTCAGTCTGACTAGATGGTAGGTGCCAAGAAATCAGACTAAAGGAAAATGTAAATGATTTTTGTGCTAATTATATAAATAAACGTAAGCCCACAGTCAGCATGGCATTTCATACTAACTAAAGACCATCTAAATGTATCTATATAACAGTATATTTAGAGATATAAACAAAGTACAGGGATGAGTATAAAGCAAAACAGTACTATTAAAATGTATGCACATCTGGACAAAGCCGAAATTCTATTTTACAAAAAGCATTATTCCTTGGCAAGCCAGATACAGAGAACAACTGCCTACAAATTTTCTGGAAATCCTTTTTAGGAAATGTGAGCAGAGCCAATTTGCGAGACACTGTTAGTCACACCTCAAGATCGTGTGTGTGTGTGTGTGTGTGTGTGTGTGTGTGTGTTTTAAAAGTAGAGAAGAGCAAACCAAAAATAATATTATTTAATAGATGAGCTATTTTGAGTACACTCACTTCTAAATGATTTCTATCATTAAATCAAACTCACCCCCTTGAAGAATGACAGTTTTCTAGTTTGAGAACATTCAAAAAAAATGTGCCACAGGCTTAAAGGCAATTTCAAAATTTGCATTCCCTAAATGTTTCAAGCAATGATCACATCATTTGGGAAT